TCCTCGTAGACCCAACGATCAATAAGTGACATCCACAAGTGGCCACGAGACTAGTTTTTGAATCATGCTACATTACCAGGCCGGGGGACCCCTATTTTTTCGTTGGAGACTTGACATCCCAATTGGATAGTGAGCACTGATCGTGGCCCTGGTAATGCCGGGGGACCGCTATTTTTTAGTTGGAGACTTGACATCCCAATTGGATAGTGAGCACTGAATAAAACCTAATTGTATAATATTCATGAATGAATGAAAAAGGAGTAAATAATGTTAACTGTATGGTTCATTCTAGCTTATAATGTGTTCTAAAATTTTCGTACTTGTATTTATTTTTTACACTACATATTGTGATATTCATAAATTAAAACAGTTGTTTCTAATTCTTTTCTAAGTGTTTTTTATTATTTCAAAATAAGTTATTTTTTATATAGAAATAAATTCAAAATTTTGGAATAACTTGACAAACGTACCTAAAATTTTATCAAATATAAAAAATCAATAGTAGTTAGTAAAGTAATAAAAAAAATGATAAATTATTTACCCAAGTTTTTCTATGTGATTTTTTTCTACTTGTATTATCTAAAGAGAAAAATAAAAAATGTTTATCTTTATTTACATGTTCTCTCATCCATATCACGTCTTTGTTCACTTATGTGTTGCTTGCATTGTTACGTGCTAAATTAATTAGTCCATGTTTGGTGTTCATTTTTTTGAAAAGATATTGTTTTGAATAATGAAACTTTGGAAAATATGTTATTAAAAGTAGAAAAAAAAATTGAGTTTACGTGTAGAATATTTCATTGTGTGAATGTGTGATTGAAAATGAGTATATAAAAAATGTTTTAAAAGAATGAAAGACAAACGTAGACTTATTGTTCATTGGGGCTCTATGACAGTCCGAAAGGACTCCATTACTTGCATACAAGAACTATATGTCAGCCCTAGAAGGACCATACTACATGACAACGTGTCCACAAACATTTGCATTAGGATCGTCGAGGTCCATTGCAATGATATGATGTCTCGATCATCGAAGCACCATCTAACAAAGATGTGCCCAAACCTAACACTTGGATAATGAACAATTGAAGGCCTCGTCCAAATAGGTAATAACAAAAGCCTCGGTTCGATCTCAGACATGGACATCATTTTTAGTGCGTTCTAACAAAATTGAATCAACGTGATCACATATGCAAACAAATGTGTATATAAGAAATTGCATGACAAGTGTCACGAAAACACAAAACTCAATTAAAGCATTAAAACTTGGACTTGATCATGACTTACATCATATTGATGAGTGTTTTCACTCACAAAAATGGTCAAAAAGTCCCCAAAAATTGTTCATAAAAAGAGACATTAACACATTAAAAAGGGTTGAAATGCTAAAAGGAAGAAAATTCTTAGAGACCCAATCTTCTATTCTGGAAAATCCGACTCGAATCAATGCAAAATTAGGGTCGACACTCTTGAAAATCTCAGTATTCTCCAATTGAAGAGTCCTTTCCAATCTAAAATTCGCTTATAGCTTATTTTTCTTCCTTCAAACAAAAAACTCACCAAAAACACACTCAAACCTCCCAAAAGGAGGCAAAATCCTTCCAAAATTCAAACAAAAAAACTTTACCACAGGCATTAAAAAGTATTTTTTTTTTTTTTTGAGGTCAACATACACATCAGGACACTAGAGACTCAAATGCAACAATGTGAATTCTTTTTCACGTTACAAGCAAAAAGGGAATGGAGAGAATGACATCTCCAATAGTGATGCGGATTTCCCTAATCGTGGGCCACATATATAAAAAAGAGAGGATGTAGAAAAAGAGTGAAGATAGATATAAAAAAAATTAAATGGATACAACATGCAATGAAGATAAATTATAAATAATAAAGTGGAGGATGTCACCTTTCACATATAAATGGTGTGCTAGACATAATTCACCATTTTCTTTGCTATGTAAGTATTTTGGAATGATGTGACACTTTTTGGTGCAATTTACATTTCATTGGAGATGCTCTAAGATTGGTCATAGTAGAATTGGTTGAACAGTCATTAGCACTTCAATACTCAATTCAGATGTCATAAAATTGGTGCGACGGAAATAAATAAATAAAGGTATGTATTGAGTTTTCAAATACTACATATCTATGGTTTGTGAAAGTCTAGGTTATTTATAGGGGATTTAAGTAAGATATTTTTGAACTTTGTTCAATGTACTGACTAATTTGATCTCTTCTCGATGGATCGATCACGTTACAATCATATATATGATTCTATATCTTTTGTATCTGTGACGATGTATTTGAAGATGATCCCATAGCTTAACTGTCTTACGAATGTTATCCGTCCCCCCTCCTTAGACTGTCCTAATTAGATAAATGTCTGTAATGAAGTACAATGATAAGATTTTTACATCTTTTAGGAACATCCCGTGGAACGCTGTTGCACTGTTGCATTTGATATGGAACATATGCTTGAGTCTCTTTAGGCATTGTAATCGTCCTTCGTTCCTTTTAGGCATAAATTGGAAGCGCCAAGGCAAGCGTGTCATTACTACCTGTGGGTTTAATTGGGCCTATGTGGTTCTCTTTAAAAAAATTAAATGGATACAACATGCAATGAAGATAAATTATAAATAATAAAGTGGAGGATGTCACCTTTCACATATAAATGGTGTGCTAGACATAATTCACCATTTTCTTTGCCATGGAAGTATTTTGGAATGATGTGACACTTTTTGGTGCAATTTACATTTCATTGGAGATGCTCTAAGATAAGTCATAGTAGAATTGGTTGAACAATCATTAGCACTTCAATACTCAAGTCAGATATCATAAAATTGGTGTGACGGAAATAAATAAATAAATAAAGTATGTATTGAGTTTTCAAATACTACATATCTATGGTTTGTGAAAGTCTAGGTTATTTATAGGGGATTTAAGTAAGATATTTTTGAACTTTGTTCAATGGACTGACTAATTTGATCTCTTCTCGATGGATCGATCATGTTACAATCATATATTTGATTCTATATCTTTTGTACTTGTGACTGTATTTGAAGATGATCCCATAGCTTAACTGTCTTACGAATGTTGTCCGTCCCCCCTCCTTAGACTGTCCTAATTAGATAAATGTCTGTAATGAAGTCCAATGATAAGATTTTTACATCTTTTAGGAACATCCCGTGGAACGCTGTTGCACTGTTGCTTTTGATATGGAACATATGCTTGAGTCTCTTTAAGGCATTGTAATCGTCCTTCTTTCCTTTTAGGCATAAATTGGAAGCGGGAAGGCAAGCGTGGCATTACTACCGAATAATTTCAGCCATTGGGTCATCGTGAGGTAAACCTTCGAATTTGGTTGCGCACTTGGACATCGTTGGGGATTGGCCCTCAAATGGTCGCCTTAGCAAACCTATCTGAGAAGACGACCCAATAGTTGGTCCGTCCAAGTGGTACATTATGCATTCATATTGCGATACGCTTTAGCCCTACGTGGCATTTGATGAGAGTCTCATGTAGCATGTTCTTTTGCGGCTCCTATGTGGTCTCCAAGAGAGGAGCAGGCATAACAAAAAATATATAATAATACTAAATCTTTGAAAAAAATTAAATATGTCATGCGGAGAAAGTGAGCAATCGACTAAAATTATTACTATATGATGCTACCAAAAAGTTGCACCTGAATGAACTCGAACTGGGTGACAGGAGCGACTGCTGCCAACGGGTGTGGTGGTTTTCCTAATAATATCTCCTGGGGAGCTGGATGGTCTCCGGTAGGGGGCTGGTTGGGAGCGGAGGAGCTTGCCTGAAGATGTCCTGAACGTGTATTAACCATGACTTCTGGTACCGTTTTCCACAGATGGCGCCAATAATGCTACCAAAAAGTTGCACCTGAATGAACTCGAACTGGCGATGGAACTCCGCACAATTTGATCTTCAATACCTGAAATAAAGGCGTCGAGGTATGTTCTTGTCGCCCCTCCGATGTTTAAGTCAGAAAGAGAAATTGTGTAAAAGATTGTATGTTGGGATATTAATAAAAAAATGTACCTGAATAATGAGGCTAGGTCATGTACTTATAGATGTTGGAGGTTAAGTCCTTTGTACCTGAATAATGAGGCTAGGTCATGTACTTATAGATGTTGGAGGTTGAGTCCTCAACTAAATGTGGTATTTATCTTTGTTATATAAGGTGTTTGGGTTAGAATCGAATTTGTAATAAGTTAGGGGTTTGTATTCAGATAGGATTTTCATTCCTAGGAAACGTGCGATAAGGTCAAGAAGACGGGTGAGTTAAGGTTAAGACCCGATCTCAATAACCGACCCTACCTCAAGGCAAGACCTGACCTAATCATGAGCCCAATAATGATGGGTTCAGATCGGGCCAAATAGTTCGAGTTCGAGCATGACAACTCCTATACGTATCACTATATATTTAGGATGAATAGTATTAGGTTCAAGAAATGTCTGTTTAATAAATGGCTAATGATTATGAATGCGTAGCTAAAATTAATATTTGAGTTTGATCTAACAGAAAAAAAAATTATCTTTTGGTAACTTTAATTTACTGCATAGGCAAACTTTCTGCCAATTTTAGGAATTGCCTAATTTTAGAATTACTGAGTGCAAGATGAATAATTGTAATTTCCAATAATAATAAAATTATTCATTTTACTTTTTCTCCTAGAACAACTTCTAGTGCACTGACCAGTCAACCCAAGTATCCACATAACTTATACTGTATATACACTATTTGGGAACAATTCAACAATCGAGAGACTTGACCAGCATGAAATATTAGTAAATAACACATCCAAGCGAACAAAAATTAATAATATATTTCCTTTCACTCTTTCTGCTAAAATAATTTTTCATGCAATAACCAGTCAAGTAATCAATGGCTTCCAATAATGTTCCACTTCCCACCCACAATATAAGCAAACTATCATTCCTTCAATTTTCTCTATAATTACAATTTTACAAATATATAATTCTTCATGCCGACTCCCAAGAATTGCCGTAAAGGAGGCCACGAGAAGAGCTGCAGGAAGGGATTATTATCAGAAAAAGCATCGTCGTTTCACGGAAGAACTGGAAGGGTGGTCGAGGAAGGGATGCTGCCGCGGCCAAAAACGGTGCCGGACTTGGTGGCGAGAAAGAGAGTTGGTGCAGCGGTTCCGGATGTAGTACTGGCGATGCAAGACAGGCGTGAACTGACGAAATTGCTGCTGAATGTGACAATACAGAGAAGCCTTGGCGCCGTACAGGTGGTGATGCCGCCGGAGGCCACAGTGGACGATTTGATTGCGGCGGCGCTGAGACAGTATTCCAAGGAGGGAAGGCGGCTGATTCTCCCGTCTACAGACCCTACCGGCTTCGACCTCCATTACTCTCAGTTTAGCCTAGAAAGTAAGCTTAATTCTTTGTCATTAGCCTTTGATTTTCCATGACTCTTTCTTGTCATTAGCCTTTGATTTTCCANTTTGATTTTCCATGACTCTTTCTTGTCATTAGCCTTTGATTTTCCATGACTCCTCTTGTTACTATCCAGACAAATAACCTGTTTTCTTGTATTCTTGTTAATTTAATGGTCAATTTTTTTTTTGGAAAACATTGTTTTAAAATGTGGTAAAGAATTTTTTTGAATATTTTATTGTGTGAATGTGTGGTTGAAAATGAATATGTAAAAAAAAAAAAGAGAGAGAGTTCGAAAGAATGGAAGACAACCAGAATTTTTCTTATAATTAAACATGTTTATTTTTGCAAGAATTGCACGTCTTCTTGAAAGCGATAAGAAAATAATCCAAACATTGAATATAAATAGTTATGTGGTTTATTAAACAATTGTTTCATGGTGGGGCCTGCAGGTTTAAACAGGGAGGAGAAGTTAATGGCATTGGGGTCAAGGAACTTTTTTCTGTGCCCAAAGAAGGCAGTGGAAGCCTCCAGAGACGGCGGTCATGTGACGACGGCTCCGACTTCGACTTCGAGTTGTTCTAAAGAAGCTGCTAAGCCTACCAAGATTAATGGGTTGCCATGGCTCAGGCTCATGGAGTTTTTACTGTGAACAAGTTATTGGCTCTACTTGTACTAGTAATTTTGTAAAATTAGGTTTAAAATTTTGGATGTAAATTAAGGAGGTTTCCTTTTCGATATGTTAATAAAATGTTCAGAATGTGTACATATTTTAGCATTTTAATGTAACGGCATTGTCCCCACTATCTGACTATACGGTAACAAGGGTTTGTCCCATGCGTGTATTTAGATAATATTGTCGAAATATGTCTAGATTATATGAACACTTTTTATCTATAATGAAATTATTTTGTCAAGATTCTTCGACTTTTTAAGTGGAACAAGATGGTGCGAGCATTTCTGCAACTTGGTACTTACAAAAAGTGGTTGAGACTTGTATAACTCTCTCATTTGACCTCCAACATGAGAGTAAATAAGGAGGGTAATGTCGAAGAAAAGAAAAGTACAGAAGTAAGAATCCTGGTTAGAGTGGCATTAACCATACATGACATCCTTTGGGGGTATTTTTAGGTAGACAATTTCGTCCATATGTTAGGAGGTTCTTGTCCAGGTAGTTTTGAGATTCTTTAAATAATTTCTAACATTTGGGTGAGTGAGGAAGTTATTGAGCATGTCGTCCAGGTTATATGATAAATCATGTATCTCCGAACATGTCATGGTCACTCAACTATTTGTGGAGTGGTTGATAGACTGCTCTCAACTGGGACCTTTTCCGAACTCATACAAGTCGATGATCAATCGAATTCAAAATATCATTAAAAGTAATTACGGGATGTCAATCGAATTCAAAATATTACAATCTTAATATCATTTCGAAGTTCGCACAACCTAATTTTCTACGTTATTAATGGTGTTTGAAACGGTCAATAGTAACAAATGTTACAACTTATCAAAATTGGTAGTTTAAACTAGTATTTCTAAAATTTCGATAACATGCTAATTTTAAAAATTTTCCGATGACCATATGCGAGTCGAATCCACAAATCGTTTACGTCATCTTGAAACTCGTTTTAAGAACTATATATCATAGACATATCGAATGGTCCAAGCAGACATCGAAAATAGTTAAATGTACATCAAACGCGCGTCTTAAAAGAGGTATCTAACTCGTCTTTTCTTTAAAAAAATTCAATTATTTAATTGACATTGTTCAAGTATAGAAATCAACACCAATTTTATTATATGAGTTCAAATGAGAATTACAGATCTAGTTCGTATTTATAGAGGAAGGAAAGAGATTAACGAACTAAAACAAACTAAAAACAAACTTATTACAGTGGGGTGACTGAACTATGGAAGATGATCAATTAAGTCATTTGGAAAATAACTTGTACATCCCCCTCAAGTTGGAGATTGATGGAAGTTCATCAAACCTAACTTGGAAAGTAGGAACTTGAACTGAGGAGATGGAAGAGACTTTGTAAACACATTCGCCTCCTGATCATTGGAAGAAATGTGTTGTGGATGAATGAGACCAGCTTTGTACTGATTACGAACCACGTGACAATCTATTTCAAGATGCTTTGTACGTTCATGAAATACCAGATTAGCACTAATATGGAGAGCTGCTTGGTTGTCGCACCAGAGAGGAATTGGAAGACTCGGGGTTAGGCAGAAATCTTGAAGAAGATAAGTAATCCAATGAATTTCGCAAACAGTTGCAGCCATACTTTGGTATTCAACTTCGGCAGAGCTATACGAAACTGTCTGCTGTTTCTTGACTTCCAGGAGATAAGAGCTCCTCCCAGAAAAATGCAATTTAAAACTCCTTGGTGCAAATTTTTCTTTGAATGGTTTTGTGTTAGTAGCATAACATAAACATCCAAAAACTTTCAAATTTTGATATGTGGGCATCGTTTTGTGCAAAATCTCAAAATGAGTTTTCCAATTTAATATGATAGTTGGCAATTTATGTATAATGTGTGTTGCCATTAAAATAGATTCTTCCCAAAAAAATTTGGCAAATTGGATTGAAACATAAGTGCTCTTGCTATTTGCAAAAGATGTTTATGTTTCCTCTCAACAACTCCGTTTTGTCGAGGTGTATATGGACAATTTTTTTAATGATGAATTCCATTTTCAGCTAAATACCTTTGCAACTCAAAATTTGTAAACTCTGTCCCATTATCTGTTCTCAAGCATTTTATGTTCTTGTTAAACTGCGTTTTAACCATTTTATGCAAATTTTTCAAAGTGTTGAGAACTTGTGTTTTATGCTTGATTAAGAAGGTTTAAGTGAACCTATTAAAGTCATCAACCATTGTCAAAAAATAATGTGCTCCACAAATAGATGTGTATTTATATGGCCCCCATAAATCCACGTGTGATATTTCAAAAATGTCAGATGTTTTTATATCACACTGGTGAAGGACAATATATGTTGTTTAGAAAATGAACAAATATCACACGGTGAAAGAATTTCTTTATTGAAAGGATTCATCGCTTTCAAATGTTGCATTACATTTCCAGAAGCATGTCCTAACCTCCTATGCCAAAGAGTAACAGATTCATCTTTGGTATTATTGCTATCAACAGGAAAGGAGTTGTTTGAAGAAGAAACATTACAGGCAATAGAAATGTAGGACTTTATAGTAGATGCATAGAAAGAAGTCTTGTCAAATGTGTATAAGTTCTTTATCAACCTCCCTACGGCTAATATCTTCTCAGTTAAGAGGTCCTGCTAAAGGCAATGATCTTCCATGAAAATGAATTTCAGTTTTAAGGCTTTGGTTAACTTACTAACTGACAAGAGATTGAATTTGAAGGTGGGAATGTGAAGGGTATCTGTGAGGATTATGTTGTCATTTAGATAAACATTTCCAAAGTGCTTAACAAAGTTCATAGTGCCATCAGGTAGAAAAACGGGAATATTTTTGTTAGCAGGTATAGGAGTTTTCAATAATGAAATGTCATTGCACATATGATTAGAAACTCCAGTATCTACAATCCATGACTTAGATCCTATCAAGTTCGAAACACTTAGAGCAGAATTAAAATCGAATTTAAGAGTTGAACATGCAAAATCATCTTCATGAGCAAAGTTAACAGTGTTAGCTCACTTTCCACTCATCATCTTCTTCAGTTCTTGTTGAATGATTCCTGAAAGGTTCATGTTTCTGTACAAATCTTCAATTCCTCCAGAATTTGTTTCATTTCCCATCTCCAAAGGTGTGTTTGCCATATGTGCAGTGAATTTACCTCCACCTTTTTTCTTTTGTTCGCTCAATTGTTTAAACCAATCCGGATATCCAATCAACTTAAAACAAAATTCTCTGCTATGTCCTGTGGTGTTACAATGTGTACAGAATTGGTTTCTTTTTCTTATTTACTCACATCAAATTTTCTACCATATCATCTGCCTCCTCTAAGTCTTCTATACCCCTGAGTTTTAACATTCATAACACTTACTTCAGTTTGTTTCCCATAAGATATCTGAACCTCTCTCTGTTTTTCCACCCTTTTGATCATGGAATAGGCCTTATTGACTAGTGATAAAGGGTCCATAACCAAGATCTGGCTTCGTGTACACTCATAATCATCATTCAATCCCATGAGAAACTGCATAAGTCTATTGAATGAAGTCAAATCTGATACTAATTTTGCTGATCCACGGGTGCACTAAGGTATAGGCATTAAGAAGGTTAGCTCATCCCACAGTCTCTTCAATCTCGTGTAGTATTCTGAAATAGACATGTTACCTTGTGAGATAGAACTAATTTCTCGCTGTATCTGGTACAACATAGGACCATTACAAGTTCCAAATCTTTCATCAATCTCCATCCATAATTCTCTAGCAGTACCAGTGTATAGAAAAGTTTCAACAATTTCCTTTGAAATAGAATTCAATAACCACGAAGTAATCATGTAGTTAACTCTCAACCATTTATCATAATTCGGTGAATTTTTCTCAGGTATTTCCATACTACCGTCAATAAGTCCTAATTTCATCTTAGCTCTGAGAAATTTTTTTACCTATCTACTCCATGCCAAAAAATTCTTACCGGTTAGAGGAACTGTAACTAATGTCATTCTTGGATGATCTGAGCTATGAAAAAATAGCGGATCTGAGACATTTATCTCACTCTGCCTTCCATTTCCTTGATTCATTTGTTCGTCCCTCGTATCTGTAGGAAGGAGATCAATGTTTTGATTTCCAGCCATGGCAGCTCAGTTTTGAGCTAATCTCCCTTCTTCTTTAATGGATTCGTCGCTTGCGGTTCTGGGATTCCAGAATCTACCGCTCTGATACCATGTTCAAGTATAGAAATCAACACCAATTTTACATGAGCTCAAATGAGAATTGCAAATCCAGATCATATTTATACAGGAATGAAAGAGATTAACGAACTAAAACAAACTAATTACAGTGGGGTGAGTGAACTATGGAAGATGATCAATTAAGTCCTTTGGGAAATAACTTGTACAAACATTTATTATTTTTGCCGACAAATTTCTCAATATAATTTACATCATTTTATTAGAAAATTTTACATGGGATATAACATAAAAAAATTTAGAAATTTTATATCCGAAAAAGTCATAACCCATGTACATTTCAAATGTAAAATTATATGGGATATAATTTTTTTTGGATGTAAATTTTCAAATGTAAAATTCCTTACAACTTTTTTGAAAGTTTGATGATGCCCCGTTAACACAAAATCTATGCGTCAACCACTGTAATATGCCATTGTGGACAATTTTTTACTCAGGTTGGTTCATAGTCTATTTCTTATTATTTGGCATTCCGCGCACGATCTGAATTTACACTTCTTGAATTGATATATGGCTAAGTTTTTAATTTTGTTCTAGATGAAAATCCTCGTCTTGCAAATCCAAAATGAGGACATATTATTTGGATTATTGTTGACCCCAAAAAAATGAACTCAACAGATGTCGGGCCTACTATTGCCACGTCAAGTGCTGATCCGATACTTTTCTACTGGAAAGGGAACGGTGGTTTGACTGTAATGAACGCGGGAGGCACTTTCCGGTGAGAGTCACAAATGTTCAAGCTCCGGAGATTGGATTTGGGCAACACTCGCGCTATCAACAAGTGCTCGTTCCGTTTTTCTTCACTAAATCACTCGTCTTGTAATAGAATATGTGGAAGGATAGATATGAGAATAAATTGTATAATGTTGGAATATCAATGTATGTTCTTCACTTGTATTTTGTAAGACAGAGCATATAAGGAAGTTCTTTTCTTTTACGATTGCATCCACTTTTTCAGTACAAAGAGATGTTATTTATACTAACATAGCTGACGTGGTGACTGTCTGATCACATCCACGTGGCGACATCTCCTAGATCGAAGACTCACATCACTGTCCATTCATCGTATTCAATGTTTGACAAAGGGTCAGTCGAGCTAGTAGTAGGCTGACACACTGACATTAAAGTTATAAACACTTTATTACAGACGTCCCATCAATCAGTTCTGTGAGATCTTCGAATCTGTTGGGAGGCCATGTCGGCTTTAGCATACGTTGAAGTCAGCTTTGGGCTTATGGACATCTGATGTGATTGAGTTTCGGTGCTTTAGTACTTCGGACACAAGAAGCCTCGGCCTTTTATTGAGGGGCTTTAGGTAGACCTTCGTTTCTTGGCTGGAAGGGACATTAAATGTTTACAGCCTCGGTATTCGCACGACCTCGTACAGTTGCATTCTTTGTTGTTCTTAACTGTGCTGATCTTCCGGGTGACTTGTCCACTGGCTTTATGTCCATCTGGCTACAGAGAGTACGTGGTCGTCCACTAACTGTGCTGACTTGGAGTCTCTGATTTCGGGGGTAACAATTATCACTCACAAAATCGTAACTTCAAGGAAATAATTATAATTTACAAGTGAGTTCATATTTTTGGTGGAAAATTCATTTTTTTTTTTAGACTTGCATGGGTCATTAGTATTTTTAACAAATCAAGCTAGTCTAGCATGTTTTTGAAGTGTTGATAAATAGTCTAAATTATAAAATGATAGAAATGAGTAGGAGATAAGTAGATAATTCTTTCTCGAAATATGTGAATAAAAAATGGTTGAGTATTTACAAATATTTTATAAAATGACACAATCAAATGTATATATATTTTTTGTTACAATTATAAATTATGTGACATCGACTATTAATTGAATTGAACTTATTAAACTAAATAATTTGCATCTTCGGCTAAGCCCATTACTCATGTGGTCTATTTACGTATTTCCTGTATACATGTGATATCATTCATAACCAAGGTATGATTTCTAATTCTATTCAAATTTCATCCCCTTCTCTTGCATTCTCTTTTCCTTTCATCCGACAGTTGATTTGGCCGTCGGAATGAAAATGGTCGCTGAACCTTTTTCTCGACCGACAGTCTTTGCCTCCTAACGGGATGTTCTAGTATACATGTGATGTCTATGTAGAGAGGAGGTGGAAGGGATTCTGTTGGCACATTTTTTGATGTCAACATTTTTCATTTTGATTTTATCAGCGTAATTTTGGTTTGTACTTTTAAAATTCGTGCATTACTTTCAAGTTTCAATAATACTTGTTATGTTTGTGAAAGGTCATTGAATACAAATATTATCGAAATAAAGTCTAGCCAATAAGTTTGAGTGCCATATTTTAACAAACACGTCAAATGCATTGCAAATCAAGATCATAACTTAATAAACGTGGCTTGTTAATAGGGATGAGACGGAGCAAGGAGGGGGAGGTCCCTGTCCCGTCACCCATTTAAGGGGGGTGGGGCGAGGCCCTTGCCACCGTTTAATTTTATTTTATTTTTAAGTTTTTGATGATTCATTTTATTACCCTATTCATTAGATTGAGACAAATAATTTTAATTGTCATTTTCTATTAGAACTAATAAAATTTCGTGAAATTTTTCATTTTAAGTATTGAATTATAAATAAATAAATTAAACGGGACGGGGCACCCGTTACCCATCCTCTCCCCGAACCCAACCCCGACCCGAATATATGATTAAACGGGCAATCCCCGATCCGTTCGGACGGGGCCTCGCGGGTATCGAGTTTGTTGAGTTTTTTTGCCATCCTTACTTGTTAATGACAAAAGATGATCAAAGTTTATTGCACTATTATGGGGTGTTTCATGTATATTATTGAGGAAATAACGTATTTTAAATAGTAATATGGTGAGAAATATGTGGTTAAAAAGTAATTAAAAGTTGTTGATATAATGAAAAATATTATTTTATTAAAAAATGTGTGATTGAAAATGAATTTTAAAAAAATGTATTTTGAGAGAATGTGTCAAACAGGGGTTATAATATTTTTTTCATTACTTTCCATAATTTTAGATATTACAAATTTGGGTTTAAGATGAATGGTTGTCATTTCTCATATTTTTAATAAAATAATTGATTTTAGTCTCACTACTAGAACTGTCAAATTAAGTGGGTGTTTGACACCCATTCTTTTGAAGAATAAATTTTTGAATAGTGATTGATGTAAAGAATGTGTGGTTAAAAAGTAAGAAGAATTTTTGGGTTTATGTGTAATATTATTTTATTTGGAGAATGTGTGGTTAGAAATGAGTAATGTAGAAAAATGAGAATAAGAATGAGATAAAAAATAGGTGTCAAACGGGGGCTAAGTACTGCTTCCAAATGTTCACAATCTATACACTATCTGGGAACATCAACATTTGAGAAACGTGGCCGATAAGAAATCTAACACGTCAAAGCGATCGAATAGATAATCCAGTTCCTTTCACTCTTTCTACTAAAATAATTTGTTTGCCCACCAACAAGTCAACTTGAGTAATCGTGTAGGTTCCAATAATGGTCCAACCCTATTCACAATTAGGGTGGACGTAGGGCGATTCAATTTGATATTTTAAGAACTGAAATCCAACCATAAATTTCGATTATTTTAGATTTATTCACTAGAGCATAATCGAAATTGAGTGGTTCGGTTCAGTTTTTAGTTCTAGTTTGATTCTACAAAAATAATTTTTCTCCGAAAGAATCGTAGAACATCCCACCAAATTCCATCGCCTGTTCTATGTTATATATATGACTTCGAAGAATTACAGTAAAGGAGGCCACCAGACGAACTGCAGGAAGGGAATATTATCTGAAAAAGCATCGTCGTTTCAAGGAAGAAGTAGTGGCATAGTGGCGGAAGGGATGCTGCCGCGGCCAAGAAAGGTACCGGACTTGGTAGCAGTGAAGAGAGTTGGTGAATGGTTGCCGGATGTAGCGGTGGTGCAAGAGAGGCCTAAGCTTACGAAATTGCTGATAACTGTGACAATACAGAGAAGCGTTGGCGCTGTGCAGGTGGTGATGCCACCGGAGGCCACGGTGGAGGATTTGATTGCGGCGGCGCTGAGGCAGTATTCCAAGGAGGGAAGGCGGCTGATTCTCCCGTCCACAGACCCTACTGGCTTCGACCTCCATTACTCTCAGTTTAGCCTAGAAAGTAAGCTTTCTTGTCATTAACCTTTAGTTAATCTGCATGATTTAGTGTGAATCGAAGTCCAATCGAATCTAAAATGTACTAATTACTACGGGATACATGGAAGGAGCCAATTGGGTGGTTTAATTAATAAACAATTGATTTTCGTGGTGGGATCCGCAGGTTTAAATCGGAAGGAGAAGTTGATGGCGTTGGGGTCAAGGAATTTTTTTCTATGTACAAAAAGGCTGGCTAAGGCCACAAGAGACGGCGGAGCTGTGACGACGGCGCCTCCGCCATCAAGCTGTTCAAATGAATCTGCTAACCATACCATGAATGGGTTGTCTTGGCTCATGTTCATGGATTTTTTACTGTGAACAAATTATTACCAGTAATTCCCTAAAATTAAGTTTAAGTGTTATGTAGATTTCAAATTATGTCACGTTTATTCCACTAATGGGTTGGTCTGTCCTATGGGACGCATCCAATAACTTTTTAACATTTTTATAATTTGCTTTTCAAAAAGCAAAAGAAAGAAAGAAATAATTGTAATATCCTTACAAGGCCTTTGAATTCTAGGTTGGTTTATAATTTGTGTCAAGTTACTCGACATTCGATTTAAATTTACACCTCTATTTTGAATCTAACATGTGACCACGTCGTTGATTTTGTTCAAGATGAAAATGTGTCTCGTGAATGAATAATGAGGACATATTCACAGGATTAACTCGTTCACGATATTGTTAATTCAAATACTTTATCCGTTTGGCACCCATTTTTTTCTCATTCTCATTCTCATTTTTTTCTCTGTCTTCATTTCAACCACACATTTTATCAATAAAATAATATTACACATAAACCTAAAAATTCTCCTTATTTTTTAACCACACATTCTTCCATCAATCACTATTTAAAAACACATTCTTTCACAAAAATGGGTGTCATATGCAAACCGTATGATTCATATTTGAGTGGAACTTCATTTCATTTACTTGGCTCATTAGCATTTTTTTAACAAAACATGCTCGAATACTGATTCATTTTGAGTTTTTCGCTTGCTGCTAAAATTACTTTCTATAATAGTTGTTATGCTCATCTTTTAGGTTATTGAATTCAAATGAATAAAGAAAAACGAATTTATAGTAAAAAACAATATTATTTGTTGGGTTTGGATACCCAATAAATCTGGGTGGTGATGAAAAACAGTTGTCGAAAATTTATCGACACCATAAGTTTGGCTCGACTCGAATACTACTGACATTTTTGGAAGGTCCAAGTTGGAGATGGATTGGTGGTTGTGATTAGTTTGTGGTTTTGGATTATTGTTAGGCCCATTTACCTCGTTATTTAGTTAGCCCAATCAATTGCTTCCTTCTCCTCTTCCTTCCACAAACCTTCTCATCTTCCCTCCTTTGTGGTTAATTGCATCCACCATTCTTGATCATTTGTGGGTTAATAGAAGAGTGAAACTTGTGGCAACTGGGTGGAGGAAAGTATTGGGTTGAGTTTGAGTTGTGTGGGGTCGATTTTGGTTGTTTCTGAGCCCGAGAAATTGAAGTTTGGAGCACCAATATCCAACATTATTTATATCATAAAGTATTCGGAAACATCACAAAAATATTGAAACATCTGTGTGCTTCGAAGTCATCACTCAAATTTTCAAGTTACAAATTTAGTAAAATTTTATGTGATTAATATTCTTATATGCCACGTCTGCGTCAAATTAGGTGTGGCGTTAGTTAATGTTAATTTGGAATTGTTGCTTGTGTTCTAAAGTGTGTTGTATTGATTTTTATGTTTATAGAGAAAAACTAATACTTGCATACAATATTCAATAACAAAATACGAAAACATAGACTTGCACATAAAATAAATTCAATAGAATTAAATAACTTTGAGAGAAATAAATTAAATTGGCTAAGTTAAGAATTGGACTACTTCTCTTTAAAATAATTAATTTGGTCGAGGTAATAATTGGACTCACCAAAAATATAACAATCAATTTTCAATCTAGTGATGCACTTGGGACACAAATACACCTCCAAGATACAATGAGGCCATCATATGTGTTGTGCATCTATGAAGACAATTCGAACATCAAAGTTAAAGATTTATATACTCGAAGTCTACACTTGTCCTCTGGAATGATAACATACACACAAGTTTAATGTAAGAAAAAAGATACCAACGATGATTTTATTACACAAGAAAATTCAAGGGAATAATGGACATTTTTTTTAAAAAAAATAACATCAATATTTTCTACAAAAGTATATATCAATCAAATCACCAAAACTTATATATAGATGGTGAAACAATGTTCAATTATCCATAAGCGTTACATCACTTCATTTTAAAAGTTTTCATAACCGAATCCAAGTGAAAGGAGTGAGAAAATCAAAGAAATGCATAAGCACTTGTTCGATGTGACTAAGTTGCGACTGCCCGAGCATGTGGGTGGCTGTCCTCAAGCATTCGAGAAACATGCATGCTACGGCCTGGCCACCTAGAAGCTCCGGGCAATCGCCCCAAGGCTTCGGCAACCCCCGCTCATCATCCTTCATCATGTTTCATCTCGAATATTAATCGAATGATTCATTGACCCATGCAAACTCTTTTAAGCATCTAATAATGTTGATATTATCTTGAAAATGTTCTAATATTAAATTGTTGAGCCAACATGTTTCATATAGCATTTACATCTAGACCTCTGCCTTGTCCTGTTTTTATCTTCCACGTCAAGTCGATTGAGTCTTTGTCAGTTTGCATTGGAGAGATATAAACGTGGTTTACTTTTAATTGTGCGACAATTTTTTAAAACAATTTAAGATTGCATTGATAATGCTCTTTACAGGTTCGATCTTGGCCCAAGGCAAACTAGGCAAAGGCCTAGGGCCTCAGGATTTTGGAGGCCTCATAAAAAGTCCAAAACTCACCCAGTACCTCAAAAAAAAAAAAAAGCAATCCGTTTAACCTTACCTAGGGTAGGAAGAAGAGAAAGTAAGACGTCGATTTATTGAATTTATCTCATCAATCCCACCGGATTGCCACCACCAACACCACCGGAGGAGCCTAAGAAGGAAGAGACCACCGCCGGAGAAGCCCAAGAAGGGAGAAAAAAGATGTCAATACAATCCGTTTAACCTTACCTGGGGTTGGAAGAAGAGAAAGTGAGACGTCGATTTATTGAATTTATCTCATCAATCCCATCGGATTGCCACCACCAACACCACTGGAGGAGCCTAAGAAGGAAAAGACCAAAAGTTGTCAATACATTTAAAAATTTTGAATTTGACTCTTTTTGACCCTTTTTTTAATATTCTAACCTTTTCCTCAATTTTAAATTACTTACTTAAACAAATATTTCGACCAGTTGCCCGGCGACGGCTGCTCACATTTGCTGACAACGAAAGTTCAGTTTAAGAGTTTTTCTGACAAAATATCCTCCAACAATATCTTCCGAACCAGATATTCCTATATCTCAATATTTTTAGAGTAAAACTTGTACCACTGGTATCCATAGTTATATTGTCTAGTTGGTTTCCAAGCTTCAAAATTTTAGCAAATTGTACCTCATATTTTTAATATAAGATGCATAATCAATCATCAATCATAAGACCGCCCATATTTATGATAAATTCAGCACACGATTAATTTAATGAAGCTAGGTTTTGCCACATGGCATTAAGTCGGCGTCTAAAAATTTAAGTTGAACCGTGTTTTTACAAGGACCGCATGAAAATTTAACAAAAAATTGACCATTTTTTGTTATTAATAGAGATGAACAAAGATAATTGTTGTGGTGTGATCCAAATTTCATGTGATTTGGTATTTGGTTGATTGAAGGAAGTCTAATGTATTTGAGTTTGTAGAGTTCTAATATGTTGAACATCAAATTTCAATGATAATTAGGAGTTTCACTTGAAGAATGACTCTTGGATGGTTAAATGCATGTTTTGGAATGTCAAACCCAACAGATGGACGCCACGGCGCCAAGGAGTGGCACCGCAGTGCCAAAGGAAGAAAAATGGGACAGAGGTCTTAGCGCCCCTGTTGGGGGAAAACAAGGCGGGCACCGGGGCACCCCAGTGACGTAATGTTTTAGCGATTTTCCCCCTTTTCCGAATTTTTTGGATTCCTTCTCCATCTTGGACTCCAATAAGAGATTTTATATATATAGTCATATTGTATCTCAATATTATAATATTCATATATTATTTTTTACATTTTCAACAACATATTGAGAGATTGAGAGTTTAGGTTTTAATTGAAATTATCGAAATCTTGATATTGTAAACAAAAAACTATTAATTATTGTGAATTGTTCTCCACTGTCAGTGGTTTTTTCCCGAATTGAGTTTCCACGTAAATTCTAGTGTTCTTATTTTCTTCTACTTTATTTCATTATTGTTATTATCTTGCGATCTGTTTCATAACAAGTGGTATCAAAGCGCGAGGTTGATAGTTCCACATGGCGACAATGAAATATGACATTCCGTTGTTGGATAGAAACATGAGATTTACATTATGGCAAGTGAATATACGAGCGATGTTGGCGCAGATAGATTTGGAGGAAGCCTTGCTTGGCTTTGATGGAATGTCTGCTGCCTAGACACAGGATGAAAAGCAATGTAGGGATCGGAAAGTCCAATCTCAAATTCATGTACATCTCTCGAATCAAATTTTTCAGGATGTTCTTAAGGAGAATAGTGCCGCTGCGTTATGGTTGAAGTTGGAGCAACTTTGCATAACAAAGAGCTTGACCAGCAAGCTACACTTGAAACAGTGCTTGTATTCCCACCGGATGTCTGAAAGTGCGTCATTGGATGATCACTTAACTATGTTCAAAGAAATTGTGGCTGATTTGGAGACATTGGAGGTTAAGTATGACAATGAGGACTTAGCTTTGGTGTTGTTGTGTTCACTGCCACCATCATATGTGACTTTTAGGGATACCATTCTCTATAGTTAGGATACTCTCACCGTGAAAGAGGTCTATGATGCTTTACTATCTAAGGAGAAGATGATGCATCTTGTTGGAGGATCTGGAAATCATGCTAAAGGTTTGGTTGTGCGTGGGAGGAATCAAGATAGAAATCTTGGCAGAAATATAAGAGGCATATCGAAGTCTAGACATACTGATAAGACATGTCACTACTGTAAGAAGAAGGGGCATATTAAAGCTAATTGCTTCGCCTTGAAAAATAGAAATAAAGTTGATGGTGCTACAGAGAAAGATAAGCAACATGTTAATAAAGTAGAGGCTGATGTTGTGGAAGATAAGTAAAGTGGTGGAGAACTTCTTGTGATTTCTGACTGGGATTCTAAAACTTGTGAGGAATAGGTTCTTAACTCGACTTGTAATTTTCATATGTGT